CACAGGTGGGTGCAGCCGCCGTTGTTCACGGAGCAGTAGTTCTGCCCTGGAGACGAAGCAGAAGAGAGGGCTACTGCGGCGCCGGACAGGACACGCTCCCCCACCATCGCCCCTGGAACCCCTCGTGTGACCGGAGGGGGTTCCCCGCCCGGCTGGTCATTCAAGACGCCCGAGACCCGGCGGGGGGGGAGGGGGGCAGCGTGAAGCCCTCTCCCAAACGCCTTTCGCAGGAAAGCCAGGAGAGGACAAGGAGGCATACCAGACGCCAGATCACAGAAACAAGCAGCCGTGAGCCCCAGATGTAAAAGGATTCATGTGTCCTGCATTCCTTCTGCCCTGAGTAATTGCATCCAGACCAGAGTCTGGAAAATCAACTAGCAGGAACGTGAGCTCCTTGCGTGGGCTCTTTGATGACCTGTGTAAGGACGATGCTTTCACTGCTTCATATTTCCTAGTCGGTGTAATTCTTTCAGCAGTGTTTCTTGCCTGTTGAAAACCTGCTTTGGCCTAGAGACCGAGTAATACAACGCCCATTCACGTTATAGTGCGGGAGAGGATCCAGGAGCTTCCAGTTATTAGCCATAATCAACGTGATGGCAAAGGTAAGACCCGTAAAACTAAGGGTTAGAAAGATAAAATCTCTAAATCTGTGCTAGAAAACTTTAATGTCTAACATCTCCGTTATGTGTAAGAGCTACAGAAGGTGAGAGAGGAAACTGGGCAGTACCTGCAGGGCACTGGGAGTAGGCGGTGGCTATTCCATACAGACGGGAACGCTTCTGCGGCTGGAACTCCTCACTCTCCCGGCCCAGGGTGCGATCTGCGGCGACCACAGCGTCCCTGAGGCACAACGCACACTGGCAGCTCAGTAAAACAGGCACAAATCACTCATCGGAACCCAGAACAGGAAACACCACACTCAAACTCCTTCCTGCCTACAATTTGAACCCGTATTTGCTTGAGGGTCATCATCAGAGCTGTGGAAGGTTGAGACTGGGTCCCAGGGAGTTCCTTTTCATAATTTCTGTTTTGGCTATGGCCCAGGATAATGGAAAAGTGTTCTTTAAGGCTGTGCAGAGGTACTCACTGTATCGAAGACAGAATCGCTGTTGTTTGGTTTGCAAAGCTATCACCCCTTGCAGGATGAAAAGTGATGAGTAGCTTGAATACATGGCATGGGCATTGCAGATGTGACCGGCAGAGGGATATGAGAAATAAACTAAGAAGAAATTGTATTAAAAATTTAATCTATTCAGTTTTATGGGTAGCCACAAAAGGCAGACTGATGTACAGCTCATGCATGGCAGGATGAATGAGAGGGAATTTCAGACAATAAAGGTAATCTCATCAATAAGACAACAAGAGACAGGCTTGATCTGACAGGGACTACTGCTGTGTTTTTCCTGGCTAGATCCTGTCAGAAAACCACTTTGGCCTGCCGGTGAGAACTGAAGGAAGCAGTTCTTGCAATTCTGAAATGCGCCTGCATATGCAGTTTACTCACCGGACTGAAAAATTGCAAGCAGCTGTGCGATTTGCACAGGCTCTTTGACCTCCTTTTAATAACAAACATACGCAGATCTAACAACTTGAAATTAGCTCCACTGAAAACACACTGCTAGCACTGGAGCATATGTAATGTGGGGTCCCAGCAGTCTGTT